TTTCTTCGTCTTTCTGCAGGGACACATCGTCCTCACTGACTTTGGGCTGTGCAAGGAAGGCATTTCTCAAACTGACACCACCACAACTTTCTGTGGGACACCTGAGGTATTTAATATGTTCAAGAAGTTCAATCTAAAGTGTCTAATAGTGATAATCATTTACAGACACATTGAGACCTGAGTTATCTGACAAACCCTCCAAATATCTGCAGGAATTTGGGCTTATTTGGTCTCAATGTGTCTGTAAATGATTATCAAGGATGTAAAAACTAACCTTATTGAGCATTTAGAATGTGGATTGCATTGCTGATGAATACAGTTTATTTTCCAAGCAGATAAACATAAACAAAGCGAGACATTTGCAAGAAAATAAGACAAATAACCCACAATTCCTGCAGATATTTGGAGGGTTTGTCAGATAATTCAGGTCTCAATGTGTCTGTAAATGATTATCAAGGATGTAAAATATGGAATAAATGCATAAATAATGATGGTAAAGATAACCTTATTGAACACTTAGAATGTGGATTGCATAAACATAAACAAAGCGAGGCATTTGGAAGAAAATAAGCCAGTCATTTGGGTTATTTTCTCTTTTTTTATGTTTATCTGCTTGGAAAATAAACTGTATTCACCACCAAAGCAATCCACATTTTAAATGCTCAATAAGGTTCTTTTTCACCATCATTATTCATGCATTTATTCTATATTTGACCTCCTTGCTTTGTGCACAAGCTGCTCCTAACCTCTTTAGAGAAATGATTAAGGTTATTGATTGATGATTAAAGGGCTGTGGATGTAAGAAATAGTGATATTTTGGAGTATTTAAAGCCAGTAGCAGCATGTCGGAGTTATATTATAATGATTCAAATGTGTGTGTGCAGTATTTGGCTCCAGAGGTGCTGAGGAAGCAGCCGTACGACAACACGGTGGACTGGTGGTGTCTGGGATCTGTTCTCTACGAGATGCTCTTCGGACTGGTGAGACCAATACTCATCTAATATCACCCATGCATTGTAGTTTGAGGGAATTGCTGATATATTTTGTAGGAAAAATAGCACAAAAAACCCCAAAAGAGACAGAAAATGACCACGAAAAGACGCAGAATAATGCGACACTCATCGATGCTAAATGACCAGAAAGTGACACTCATCGATGCTAAATGACCTAAAAGTGACACTCATCGATGCTAAATGACCAGAAAGTGACACTCATCGATGCTAAATGACCTAAAAGTGACACTCATCGATGCTAAATGACCAGAAAGTGACACTCATCGATGCTAAATGACCAGAAAGTGACACTCATCGATGCTAAATGACCAGAAAGTGACACTCATCGATGCTAAATGACCAGAAAGTGACACTCATCGATGCTAAATGTCCAGAAAGACCACAGGAAGCTTCAAACTGTCTATGATGAGAAACAAAATATTCAAAAAGAGACAAAGCATTGCCGTACAACCAAAACAAGACTCAAAAACGTCAACAAGGACACAGGAAATGACCAAAGAGAGACACAACATTTCTATAAAGCAATGCAACACAACTTAAAGTAGATGTGCAACAAACAAAATAAGACTTGCAAAATTCAAAATGACCAAAAGAGACGCAAAAAGACCACGAAGAACTTCAAACATCTACAAAAGTTACACAAAATGACCAAAAACAGATCAAAAGCATTAAAAAGAGGTGCAGAACAAGAGGAAAGAGGTGACCCTCAATAGATGCTAAAGGACCAGGAAACCACAACCAGAGACTCAAAATGTCAACTTCTATAAAGCAATGCAAAACCACTTCAAATAGATGTGTAACAAATAAATAAGATTCAAAATGACCAAAAGAGATAATTATAACCAAAAACTGATCAAAATCATTCAGAAGACGTGTAGAACAAGAGGAAAGAGGCACACACTGACCCTGACCCTAAATCGATGCTAAATGACCAGAAAACAAGGTCTCTCAATCAGCCTCCTGATTACCCCCCCTCCCTTTGCACTCCTTCCTCTTCAGCCCCCCTTCTACAGCAGAGACACACACGAGATGTACGACAACATCCTGCACAAACCTCTGGTGATGCGTGCGGGCGCCTCCAGCTGCGCCTGGTCTCTGCTGCAAGGCCTGCTGGAGAAAGAGGGTCTGCACCGCCTGGGCTCCAGAGACGACTTCGTGAGTCCACACACACTCTGGAGAGCAGAAAAACACACACATATATGTCATTAAAGCAGAGTTAGACACTAAAACACACACATATCACATTAAAGCAGATGAAACACACACACATATATCACATTAAATTACAGGTAAACACACACCACATTAGAGCTTGACTGTGTGGGCTCCCTCTGGTGGTCAACATGTGAATTACCCTCAGCTTTCTGTAAACAAACTGGTAAATATGATGTTTATTTTCTACGTTTCCAGAATGAAATTAAAGCTCACGACTTCTTCTCCTCCATCAACTGGGACGACCTGGAGCAGAAGAAGATCCCTCCTCCATTTACGCCCAATGTGGTAAATATTCTGTCTGTTTTTACTTCAATTTTGATTGAAATACACTACATTACACAGGTGTTTCTAATTAACAGTGGCTGATTAAGAACCATCCTTCAAAGGAAAACCCAAAACATTTGCAGAAATTAAGTAAATAAATATGGTTTTATGAGTTTTTTTAATCAGAATCAGTTAATAGGATTTTTCTAATTATACTCAGGTAAAATTAAATGTTGCAAGGCTCCTCTAGATCAGTGGTTCTCAACTGGTGGGACCCGTTTCGAGTGGGTCGCAGATGTGAGTGAAACCTTATTTAAAAGCATTCTTCAGTTCTGTGAAGGGATATATGCACTGTACTTCACTTTAATAATGTATGCTGAAAAGCGTATATATTACAGCACGATTTTTTGTTGAATAGATTTGAGTGGTTCAAAATTTTGGGTCGCGATTTATTGACAAAGGAAAAAGTGGGTCCCAAGGCCTGACCAGTTGAGAACCACTGCTCTAGATGTAGTTACATTAAAAACATTTAAATAAAACAGTGGTTGTAACATAAAAAAGGCACCAGACAGTTAAATGGTTTCCTATTGGCTAGCGCTCCAACACATTGCACGTGATAGGCTAAGGGGCGGGACATCTCTAACCGAGGACCAATCATAACAGAGCTGGCCAGCTATAGGGGTTCTTTGAATTCATTAGTGTGATAAAAAAATAGTAAAACTGTTATTTAATTAAATGCATATGGAGTAAAAAAAGTATTAAAGGAGAGGTGTCATGCTTTCCCGGTTATCACCCGTCCCCTTGTGTTATGTAGGTTTGTATGCATGTAAACGGTGTGCGGAGTCAAAACCCTCAAAGTACACCCTGTAGCGAGTAAAACTCTAACACAGACAATACCTCCCCAAAACGCCTCGTTGGAGATACGTCATTGTCCATTTGATTCTTCCATTTCGTTCCGGGTACGGCATGATGTCAAGCCGTACCCGGAACGAAATGGACCAATCCGTGGAGCCGTTACGTTACGTCCGCGGAGCCGTTACGTTAAGCCCCCGCTGATTGGTCCAAATTGACCAATCCATGGACTTCCTCACACACACATCTGTGTGCAGGGAGCAGGCAGCTCAGCTGATTTCTCCTCCCTGGCTGCAGGCTGATAACAGACAGTTGAAATTCTCTCTGCAGACCCATTCTCTCTGCAGACCCATTCTCTCTGCAGACCCATTCTCTCTGCGGACCCATTCTCTCTGCAGACCCATTCTCTCTGCAGACCCATTCTCTCTGCAGACCCATTCTCTCTACAGACCCATTCTCTCTGCGGACCCATTCTCTCTGCAGACCCATTCTCTCTGCAGGCCCATTCTCTCTGCAGACCCATTCTCTCTACAGACCCATTCTCTCTGCGGACCCATTCTCTCTGCAGACCCACTCTCTCTGCAGACCCATTCTCTCTGCGGACCCATTCTCTCTGCGGACCCATTCTCTCTGCAGACCCATTCTCTCTGCAGGCCCATTCTCTCTGCAGACCCATTCTCTCTACAGACCCATTCTCTCTGCAGACCCATTCTCTCTGCTGACCCATTCTCTCTGCAGACCCATTCTCTCTGCAGAACCATTCTCTCTGCGGACCCATTCTCTCTGCGGGCCCATTCTCTCTGCGGACCCATTCTCTCTGCAGACCCATTCTCTCTGCAGAACCATTCTCTCTGCAGACCCATTCTCTCTGCGGGCCCATTCTCTCTGCAGACCCATTCTCTCTGCAGACCCATTCTCTCTACAGACCCATTCTCTCTACAGACCCATTCTCTCTACAGACCCATTCTCTCTGCAGACCCATTCTCTCCGCAGACCCATTCTCTCCGCAGACCCATTCTCTCTGCAGACCCATTCTCTCCGCAGACCCATTCTCTCCGCAGACCCATTCTCTCTGCAGAACCATTCTCTCTGCAGACCCATTCTCTCTGCGGGCCCATTCTCTCTGCAGAACCATTCTCTCCGCAGACCCATTCTCTCTGCAGACCCATTCTCTCTGCAGACCCATTCTCTCTACAGACCCATTCTCTCTGCAGACCCATTCTCTCCGCAGACCCATTCTCACTGCAGACCCATTCTCTCTGCAGACCCATTCTCTCTGCAGACCCATTCTCTCTACAGACCCATTCTCACAGCGTTTATCAACCTTTTTCTTACTCAATATCAAGCCACACTTATTGTTTTTACTCCGGCTGTGACTTTGTGTGTGCTCAGGATGAGTTTGGCTGTGTTTCGCTGTGTATCGCTAACAAGGAAACAACACCTCCACGGAGCTCAGTGCGATTCACAACGTCCCGACCAATCAGAGCACACTGTGCTCACAGGGAGGGTGGGGGCTGGAGCTATTGGAGCTACAACGAGCCGTTAAAGGCAGAGAGTGAAATTCAGTGAATACACGTAGTTTACAGAGATGCTGTATGAGAAACCAATGTGAGTTTGGAGAGATGCTGTTTGAGAAACCAATGTGAGTTTGGAGAGATGCTGTATGAGAAACCAATGTGAGTTTGGAGAGATGCTGTCTGAGAAACCAATGTGAGTTTGGAGAGATGCTGTATGAGAAACCAATGTGAGTTTGGAGAGATGCTGTATGAGAAACCAATGTGAGTTTGGAGAGATGCTGGATGAGAAACCAATGTGAGTTTGGAGAGATGCTGTTTGAGAAACCAATGTGAGTTTGGAGAGATGCTGTTTGAGAAACCAATGTGAGTTTGGAGAGATGCTGTATGAGAAACCAATGTGGGGTTGGAGAGATGCTGTATGAGAAACCAATGTGAGTTTGGAGAGATGCTGTTTGAGAAACCAATGTGAGTTTGGAGAGATGCTGTATGAGAAACCAATGTGAGTTTGGAGAGATGCTGTATGAGAAACCAATGTGAGTTTGGAGAGATGCTGTATGAGAAACCAATGTGAGTTTGGAGAGATGCTGTTTGAGAAACCAATGTGAGTTTGGAGAGATGCTGTATGAGAAACCAATGTGAGTTTGGAGAGATGCTGGATGAGAAACCAATGTGAGTTTGGAGAGATGCTGTTTGAGAAACCAATGTGAGTTTGGAGAGATGCTGTATGAGAAACCAATGTGAGTTTAGAAAAATGCACAATATAAATCTATTCTAGTAGACCTCACCAATGGAATTATGATCAGTGGAAATGACCATGACACCTCTCCTTTAAATGTAACTTGCCTTGTTGTGGGAACCCTGAATTGCCTCCTAATTGTTTTTACCTCATTATAAATCAATTTGTACCATCATTAATTTGCTTTTTGGTCGTGAAATTAAGTCCCTTTTTTAATGAATTCATCATCTTTAAATAATGTAAAGAAAGTATTGAATGTAACTTGCCTTGTTGTGGGAACCCTGAATTGCCTCCTAATTGTTTTATCTCATTTTAAAGCACTTTGTAACATCATTAATTAGCTTTTTTGTCATCAAATTAAGTCCCTTTTTAATGAATTCATCACCCATATACATGAGAGTAACACATGCGTCACTTCCGGGCAAAAAGTACGGCTCCGCCCACTTTTGGGGGAAAACAAAGCTGCCATTTGAATGGCGGTCAATACAAATTCTGAAGTTTTTGCCAATCCGATCAGAAATGTAAGAAAACCGTGGATTTGTGGATCTTCAAAGAGCCCGATTACGATGGCCAGACAGGCAAACAATTACATTAAATCATTGGAAATCGACGATCGGGCTGGTTAAATATAGCAGTAGGCGATCGATGTCATACATGAGAGTAACATCTACGTCACTTTACGGCCCCGCCCACTTTTGGGGGAAACAGAGCTGTCATTTGAATGGCGATCGAGCCTGAAGCCACAGAGCTCTTCTATTACTGTCCTTTTTTCTTAGAGGAAGTACAGACAAACGTAACTCTGGATTTGTTTTAATGTTTGAGGTGCAATAAACGACACAGCAGCTTGTTGGCGTGATAAAACAATTATTTTCCGCCTCGCTCATGAGAGTAACAGCCGGCGAAAATTACAGCGTCTCCGACTGATTTTAATTTAACCATATATCGAGCCCGCTCGTTGATTTCCAATAATTTAATTCAAATGACAGCTTTGTTTTCCCCCAAAAGTGGGGGGCCGTAATTTTCGCCCGGAAGTGACGTCGGTGTTACTCTCATCTATAGTCTGTACTCACCCCCTCTCTCTCCCTGATGTTTCCACAGAGTTCCTGCTGCGATATCTCAAACTTTGACCCCGAATTTACGGACGAATCGGTGCCAAACTCCATCTGCTGGTCTCAGGATCTTTCCATTGTAAACGCCAGCGTGATGGAGGCGGACGACGCCTTTGTTGGTTTCTCTTACGCACCGGCGTCCGATGACTCTTTCCTCTAAAACGATCTTTGTTTCGTTCGCCTTAACCGTCACAATAACTCCTTTTGACTAAAGGGAAGAAGAGTTTAAACCACGGATCAATAACCTGTCCTCTGACGCCAAAGCAGCTGGAAATAAACAGCACTTAAACATGTGGGGTTGGAAAACAAAATGTGCCAGATGTGCTTTTTTATAAATTTGTATTTATATAATATAACAGATGATATTTTTAAAAGGACATCCTCTATTACTGTTATATTCCTGGTGGTTTCTAAAACTTTATAAAGCCTTAAATTGTCCCTTAAATGAACACTTGAACAACTAACTGGACTTTAAATCACACCATTTGACATGGAAATGTGTTGGTCCATGTAATTACTGTAAAAAAGAAATACACTCATGTGTCTTATTCATTTTAACTACGCTGGAAATAGGGATTACTTGAGACCGCTGAATAATGCATTTTTGGTTTATAGGTCACATTTGTAGAAACATTTCTACTTCTGTTTGTCTTTAAATATTTAGTTTTTATATTGGGTTGTTTGTGTATTCTATTCTTTGCCTTAATGCATTTATTCATGATTGCAGAAATTAGAAATCCACAATGCTTTGCTAAGTAGGCCTATATTCCTGCACATTAATAAAAAATATATAAGAAAAGCGTGTTTTTGTATTTATTACTAATAATGTATGTTGTGTAGTGACTTGGAATTAAGGTATTTTACTTTCAATCATTTTATATATTTTCTTATTTCAATATAACTATTAAATATGTTTTATATTATTTTATATTCGTACTTAATCATACATTAAATCATATTACATCCGGGTCCTTTGGCAGTTGGAGTGGTCACCAGTGTAAAAGGTGGCCGTTTTACAAAAACAGGTCTTTGTATTTACTACTAATAATGTATTCTGTGTATTATCTTAAAATTGAGCACAATTACATTAAATCATTTAATATGTGTTGTCTTATTTCAATATATTTATTAAATGTGTTTTATATTATTTTATATTTGTATTTAAAGGTGGGGTAGGTAAGTTTGAGAAACCGGCTCGAGATACACTTGTTATATTCCATGGAATGCTCTTAACATCCCGATAGCAATGAATATCTGAAGTGCTTTGACAAAAAATCCATAAATAAATGTCATCTGTGGAAGCTGTAGTACTGTAAAAAGCACGACCAATCATCTGAGCCGGCCCGGCTAAAATAACTGGATGGCCTACCTGCCTGTCAGCCTTCCATCTGTGCACAAACTTATCTCGTGCCCTCATTGGTCATGTGCGCGTTCGTGTGTGTTGGAGGAGGGGCTCTGTAAGGAATTGGCAGATTTTTTCCGGCTGTGTATTTTCAAATTCTAGCGATCTCGAGCTTGTTTCTCAAATGTACCTACCCTACCTTTAATCGTACATGTAATCGCATAACATCCGGGTCCTTTAGCAGTTGGAGCGCGCGCACACCAGTGTCACTGTTTCTGTCAACAAAAGGTGGCAGTTAAAAAACGTTCTTTGTATTTATTACTAATAATATAGTATGTGTAGTAATTTGAGATTAAACCATTTTAGATTAAATAATTGTATAATTTTTTTCATTTCAATATATTTATTAAGTATGTATTATATTATTTTATATTTGTATTTAATCGTACATTTAATCGCACTACATCCGGGTCCTTCGAGTTGTTGCCATGGTACCGTGAAGTTAGCCCGCGAATGCGAGCTGTCATTTAAAGATTTTAAGAATATATATATGTATTTATAATTAACACACAATGAGTGACATTTTGTCATTAAAAGAGTCGATTCTGGTGTATTTAGACAGAAGTGGAGGACTTCAGAGACTGGGAGAAGACTGCAGACCTTTTAATGGTGAGGAGAACATATAATAATAATAATGCTAACTGTTAGCTTAGTTTGCTTACGTCAAGCTAACGTTAGTAGCATTGAAAGCTAAACACACTGGTTAAACTACATTACATATTCGGATTCAGAATACTTTTTAGTCCGTTAACTTTACATATAATGGATATGTGTCTCTGGCACTGGTAAATAAGCAGTGGTGGAAGTACAAATCAGCTAAATGTAGTACTTAAAGTATCAAAAGTAAAAGTAATCATGGCCTTTATGTGTAAATATGGTTATATATGTGACATTTCTAGGTAATATTTTTGCATTAACGAGCATTTTACTGTTAGAAAGACAAACTACTGATTTACTTTTTGTAAAATATTTAAATAATTTGACTCTTTTGTGACTGAAAGAGTTTATCCACTAGTTTAATTGTCAGAGATGCTTGTACTGTACATAACGCTTTTAAATGCATTTAGTGAATACAATTACTTGATTTCCCTTTTAAAAGTAGTGGAGTAGAAGTATAAAGTGGAATTAAATGGAAATACTCATGTGAGGTTCAAGTACAGTACAGTAAATGTACTGAGTTACTTCACAGATCAGATGTAGCTCAGATGTCCCTCTCCTCTGCAGAGCCCCAGCTGATGGAGGCGGTTTACAGGTTCTGCGTCAGCGTGAATCCCTCAGATGTGATCGAGGTGGATCCTGAGCTGGGACACTGTGTTCTGCAGGATCCTCTCACAGCAACTGCACTGTTTCAGTCTGTAAGTGGAAAAACTGAGAGTTAACTAAGAGTTAAAACACATTGTAGGAGCCATGAAACGTACAAAGAAATGCATTTTGTTTGAATACAAATTCGTTTTGTGCTAGTTTATATTTGGGTAATGGTTTGTATTATAAGATATTTGTTTGATCGCAATGGGTTGGTTGGTTTGGGTCACATGGATATGGTGAGGTGTGTGTGTGTGTGTGTGTGTGTGTGTGTGTGTGTGTGTGTGTGTGTGTGTGTGTGTGTGTGTGTGTGTGTGTGTGTGTGTGTGTGTGTGTGTGTGTGTGTGTGTGTGTGTGTGTCAGGGTCGTTGTATTTTTTTTGACTGCAAGCTTTAGGATTGCTTTGATTATTGTTACAATGTCTATGTAAAATAAGTTGATCATCTAATTTTTAATTAAACTACATTATTATTCACTGCAATTTTGATCTCAGCAAGTACTTTTTTGATAGCGTGTCATACAATAGAAACAGGCCCGGTGTTTGTTACACACACTTCTTCTCCTGTGAGGTTAACTCACTTTTCCTACTTCCTCTCTCAGGTTTGCTTCCTGGCCATAAAGACTCTTTCACTTCTCGATAAGATCCACACAGAGAGTCAGGTAGGAATAAAAGCTGAAGCTGTTTCCTGTGGAGGAAATTCTTAAAATAAACTGATAAATGATTTATGGACAAAGTTTGTCTTTGTTATATTTAATAAAGTAATAAAGAAAGTCAATACACATGAAATGGATCTCAATGCAGGAACAGAGCAGCTTCATCCTCAGAGGAGAGAGAGGTTCAGCTGACGGTCTCTCTGTGTATTCATGAGAGGAAACAGCTGCTCCTCCATCCCATCATCAAGCCATTCAACCCCCTTGTCTTTAACCATTTGTGAATCCACCTTTGACTTCCTTTGCCTCCTGAAATGTAAACCCTTAACACATGTCTCTGTTAAACACATACAAGACTAAACATACAATTGAACAGTGTAAAAGGCAATCAGAGTATAAGACTATATGTTTTAAATGATTATATGATCATTTGACAGGACATTTCCCTCCCACAGCATCAGTCCTGTAACAAGGTGTTTTCTAATTGCTCCCCAGGTGAATGTGATCCTGAAGTTGACTCACCTTCCTCCGTTCCCCGAGTACTCGTTGGATCTTTGTAGTTTTCCTCGGGGGAACGGGGCCATGAGGCCGGTCTCCATGGAGGGTTTAGTCATCGCCATAACGAGAGTCACCAAATACACCCAGGGCGCTCGGTTCCTCTGCAGCGATGAGGAGTGCCCTTGCTCTGCAGGTATTAGCCGGCATGCTAACAATATCATAAAGGTTGCAATCTTTAAATTCAAGCTCAGACAATTCGCATTCATAGACACAAGACAACATAAAACATAACATTTGCAATCTGGAAATCCCCCTTTGGCAGGTCAAATATGGCAAGATGTTGTGTTTTTTTTAAGCTCAGACAAGTAGCATTTATAGACAATGAGAGTTTGTTTCCTGGACTTTAGGGTTTCACCACATCCGAGTTCATGCACCCGGAGCCACAGAATCGGCCACGGTGAGAAACGACTTCATCTGCAGGATCTGTGGCTCGGCTCTGAAAGAAGACGTGAAGTTCAGAGTGCTGGGAGGTGAGATCTGGTGGAGAAATATAATCAGAGGAGGTGGGAAGTAGTGGAGTACAAATACTTTGTTACTGTACTTAAGTACATGTCTCTGGTATCAGTACTTTACTCCACTACTTATTTTTCTGACTTTTTACTTTGACTTCTTACATTTCTAACCCAAATACCTGTACTTTCTACTTCTTACATGTTGAACACAAATACCTGTACTTTCTACTTCTTACATGTTGAACACAAATACCTGTACTTTCTACTTCTTACATGTGAACACAAATACCTGTACTTTCTACTTCTTACATGTTGAACCCAAATACCTGTACTTTCTACTTCTTACATGTTGAACCCAAATACCTGTACTTTCTACTTCTTACATGTTGAACCCAAATACCTGTACTTTCTACTTCTTACATGTTGAACACAAATACCTGTACTTTCTACTTCTTACATGTTGAACACAAATACCTGTACTTTCTACTTCTTACATGTTGAACACAAATACCTGTACTTTCTACTTCTTACATGTTGAACACAAATACCTGTACTTTCTACTTCTTACATGTTGAACCCAAATACCTGTACTTTCTACTTCTTACATGTTGAACACAAATACCTGTACTTTCTACTTCTTACATGTTGAACACAAATACCTGTACTTTCTACTTCTTACATTTTGAACTCAAATACCTGTACTTTCTACTTCTTACATTTTGAACTCAAATACCTGTACTTTCTACTTCTTACATGTTGAACACAAATACCTGTACTTTCTACTTCTTACATGTTGAACACAAATACCTGTACTTTCTACTTCTTACATGTTGAACACAAATACCTGTACTTTCTACTTCTTACATGTTGAACACAAATACCTGTACTTTCTACTTCTTACATGTTGAACTCAAATACCGTGTACTTTCTACTTCTTACATGTTGAACACAAATACCTGTACTTTCTACTTCTTACATGTTGAACACAAATACCTGTACTTTCTACTTCTTACATGTTGAACCCAAATACCTGTACTTTCTACTTCTTACATGTTGAACACAAATACCTGTACTTTCTACTTCTTACATGTTGAACACAAATACCTGTACTTTCTACTTCTTACATGTTGAACCCAAATACCTGTACTTTCTACTTCTCACATTTTGAACCCAAATACCTGTACTTTCTACTTCTTACATGTTGAACACAAATACCTGTACTTTCTACTTCTTACATGTTGAACCCAAATACCTGTACTTTCTACTTCTCACATTTTGAACCCAAATACCTGTACTTTCTACTTCTCACATTTTGAACCCAAATACCTGTACTTTCTACTTCTTACATGTTGAACACAAATACCTGTACTTTCTACTTCTTACATGTTGAACACTAATACCTGTACTTTCTACTTCTTACATGTTGAAC